GCTAGCCGGAGCGGTATCAAATGGTGGCGGCAGCAGCAACACCAGGCGAAACCTTCTCGCCATGTTGCCACCTCCGGCCTGGCGTAACTGGCCTCACAATTGCTGCCTTGTCTCCCTGTAGCTCCCTGTAGCTTGGCTGAAGTGGGTCCTCTGGGAGGCATCACTTTGGTGCCCAAGATTCTGATGCATGCATTTTCAAAGTGGCAATTCTCCAGGGTAGGGCCGTCTTTCTGGTGCAAGCCGCCTGCCTGTAGTTGCGAGGGGGAAGCACAAGATTTGCTTATAACGTATAGGAAGGAGGCTGCAAGGGAGAGAGGCGCAGTCACCTCAGGGTGCTGGAAACTTTCAGATGCCAGAGTAGTAAAAGTCCCAGGGCACAGACATACGGGACCAGGGCATGCTAAACCTGTGAGCAAACCGAACAGCAGGTCAGGGATCTGAGAAAGGGGAAAGGTGCATGGGGGTGTGTGTGACTGGCTTGTCTGCCAAAATTTTCGCCAAGGGGGAAACTTGGCGATAAACTGATGCAGCAAGCAAAGTAAAGGGAGGAATCGTGATATTTCTTAATATATATAATTTTGTTACACAGGGCTTTTTTTGTAGATTAGCATAATAGCATAATAGGCCACACCCAACAGCAGAAACTCATTAGCATATTAGGCCACACTCCTGACAACAAAGCTCATTAGCACATTAGGCCGCACCCCCATGTTACCAGAAGTGTGGTTATCCAGCCACACCCACCTTTTGCTTGTTATTCTGTTTACCTTGTTTGTTGTCAAAACCCAGGGCTTTTTTTGTAGCAGGAACTCCTTTGCATGTTAGGCCACACACCCCTAATGTAGCCAATCCTAATGAGTTTCTGCTGTTGGGTGTGGCCTATTATGCTAATGAGTTCCTGCTGGGTGTGGCCGACTCAGGAGCCAGCCCGAACTCTATTCCTGTGTGTTCCTGCCCAAAAATAGCCCTGTTGTTACGTATTGGTCATTTCTGGCACTCCCATTGCCTGCCCAGTGCACTACATTAGCCCATCAGCCACCCTTCAAGGGTACTTGCGTGGCATTGCCTTGGTACTGGGTATACTCTTCTCCCCCACACACTGCCAGCATGGAATCAGCTGCCAAAATTCTCACAGAATCAGCTGCCAAAATTACAACTGCTCTCCAGGAGGGAGGGGAGAGGAGATGGAATGCTAGAGTCAGAGGAGCAGATAACAGTAGGTTGATGGTTGGCTGGGAAGGAGATAGGGTTGCCAACTCCAGGTTGGGGAATTCCTGGATATTTCCGGGGTCAAGTCTGGAGATGGTAGGGTTTGAGGAGGGGTGGGACCTCAGACAGGTACAAGGCCATAGACTCCACCTGCCAAACCAGCCACTGACTCCTGGGTAACCACTGCTACCAATCTCCAGGTGAGGGCTGGAGATCACTCTTCATTACAAGTGCTCTTCATGTGGCATAGATCACAACCCCTGGAGAAAATGGTGGACTCTGTGTCATTATACCCTGCTGAGGTTGCCACAGCAAGTTGACACTGAGTGCTCAAGGCTGCAGCACTCACCCACAGCCTCTTTCTAGAGTTCGCTGTATTTATTTCCACAACGAGCCTTATTCCTAGGTTATAATAAAAAATGAAGCATGTGGGCAAGAGGAGCTAACTCCTGCCCCCTCCTGCACCTCATATCCCAGTCCTAGTGAGCCAGCAATGGGATTGATGTTAACTTCACTTTGGAAAAACAGACCTTTTGGCACTCTCCTTTGGGGAGCCAGAATGCAAGTGTAATGGTGCTGACTGGACAATGTCCACTCCACAGCCAGCCCACTCTATACCAGACAGTGAGGCACCAGAATAACAAAAACATTTCCTTAACTTTACTAAGGCAGACAATGTGAGGCCTTTGGTTCCTTTGGCATCTCTTTTTTGCTCAAATCCCATAGAATCATAGAATGTTAGAGTTGGAAGGGACATCATTACCTGCTAATTGCTACAGATCCCAATTCAAAAGTGGCCAACCTTTAAATGCCCATATTCTGATTTGAAAGCTGGAGTTTTACTTTTGGTACGGAATTCTGAGTGTTTGTTACATTAGCAAGATTAGTCAAGAGCCTGATCTCATAGAGCATTTGAAAACAGCACCATTAAAATGATCCCTTTTTCTCAGGGGGAGGCAGGAGGCACTTCTGCCTGAGCAGGATTAAATCAGTTTTATTATTCTGGTTTGGAATAACACAGGTACTCTGTATTGTCTAATAAGACCCTTTTACAGTGCAATCATAAACAAAATTGATCTAAGTACATTATCTTAGAAGGATGTAACTCTGTTTAGGATTGCACTGTAAATCTTTTATTTTTTTTTCAATTTCTGCTAATAGACTTGGTTTTTAGATTTATTCTCAGTTCTAGGCAATGGACAACTTATATTTGCATACATTTAAGTGAATGGAAATTGGCCCTTATCTCCTAAGAACTGACAGCTCTTTGGGCAGGCTAAGAAAATAATTACACTAATTACTGCGAAACAAGTGTTCACACTGTATTACAGTCATGAAGACCAAATAAGCAAATCAGGGCCGGAATTCAGGGTCAGGCACCCTTTTGAACACCCCAGTCAAAGAGTTAAATTAAACAATGGTTGACATTTTCTACTCTCTTATAGGGTGGTAATTCTGAACTATATTAATAGTTTAAGCAGGGTTGCCACTCTTAATCCTGAGCCTTTACCAACAACCTGCCATCAGGTGCAGTTTCCTCTGTCTCAGTGCCAGGAAACATTTTCTTCATTGGGTGACTCTGAAAGCACTGGGATCATGGCCAGTAAGCCCAATTTGCAACCTTAGGGCAGAAGCAGAGGATAGTTATTGCTCTGGATTAATTTGCCTTTTTTACTGCCCTGCTCCTATGGTCCTAATAACAGCAGCTTGGCTTGTGGCAAAAATGATGGGAAAAGTTTCATATGCCAAATTTCTGTGTCAGAATACTGCTTTCATAGGACAAGAAAACAGGAGCATTTACAGAAGAACTTACTCCCTGGCTGCGATCACACACACTAAATAATCTACTTTCAATGCACTTTCCAACTAGATTTTTACTGTGTGAACTGGCAAAATCCAATTCAAAAGTGCATTGAAAGTGGATCGAAAGTGGATTATTTAGTGTGTGTGATTGCAGAGTTGAAAAAAAGGGAAATGTCCTTGAAAAAAGAGCCGCAAAGCTCAAAATGTATCAAAAACAAAGCCACCCGTTTAACAGCAGCTTTGAATATATTCTCATTTCCTTGCTGCATTCCTCTGTAGGTTTTTTTTGGACAGGACTGATTGAAATGTGCTCCATAAGGGCTGCTCCTTAGAAACACAGAGGAAGTCTGAAAGTGAAGAGCCACTTGACTTCTCTCACCCATAAGGCCATTCTGCTGGACTCAGGAGGGGGGGGAGTCTCCCATGCTACTTAACTAAGGACTGACCCAGAAATGACTTGGGATAGTAATAGGAACAGGCAGCCAGAGCTGGCAGCCTCAACAAGGAATGTGAACTGCACTTGCAATACTGTTGGGCAGGTTATATTTAAACAGGGACTTATCATGTCCCCTGCTGGCAGAATCCAAGCAGATCCCCAGTCAGGAAAAATGACTGACAGTGTTGCCTACGGGCTCAAACCAATTGTTCCTGATGGAGCTGCAGCTACCCAAAGAATCTGCAGGGGAAAAACAGAGCAACCAAGAATGACAAAATTGTTGGGTGCAGGAAAGTAACCGGTCAAGCTTAGTAGTAGAGAATAAAGGTGGCACACATCATTGCTTTGCACGAAGGTAAAAGGGAGAAGAAATAATGTTCCCTGTATCCAAGAGTGATAAGGGGTAATACCAATGGCCATCTTTGGAGGGCGCAGTAGACAGCCTGGAAAAAAAATAGAAGAGATGTTGCTGCACCGTGGCTGATTGGAAGAGGATTATCAAATCGAGCAAGCTGCTCTTCATATACTGAAGGCAGAAATTTTTTGGATGATATGATCCAAGTGCCATTGCCTAATGACACAGAAGAAGGTTTAAACATGATGAGCACATCCTCTGGACAGATGCCATTGAAACTAATGGGAGTTGCTTGAGAGCACTCATAAAAAAACCCATTCCTTTTCAGTAGGGCCTGTGCAGAAACATGCCGTTGTGAATTGCCTCCTATTTTTGCTGGGGGGGGGGGAGGCAGCACTTTTCTAGTGTGGTGTGGCACGTATCGAGAAACAGCACTTAATTAAAATGTGAGAGGTCTTTCTTGTTCAAAAAAGTCATCAGATCCATGGCATATCCCTAGGAACCACCTTAACAAGCTTTAGTGAAAACCAGGCTTGTGAGTTTCACAGCCTTCTCGGTGCCCCATTCTTGAAGTATGAGGGAATCTGCAACTGATCCTGCTTCTTTCTCGTGAATCTGCCTGCTGCTACTGTGGAGGTCTGGGGCTCCACAGTGGCTGTCAGGTGTGGCCTGGGGAGGCTCCCTCGAGGAGGGCATGTAGCCGTACAGACAGCAACAAGTCTGAACTACTCATCCCATTGCACACACAACAGGCTCCTCTGTTTTCCACCCCTGCACCCAGATAGGTAAAGAATGCTGGGTAAAGGCAAATGCTGCAGGGGTTTCCAGAATGTGGAAAATTGGAAACAGAAGGGCTACAAAAGTGCAAAGAAGAGGGATGTGCTGGCCTGAAGATTAGTGTCCAGCTGTTGGAATCAGGAGAATGAGCATCTGCCACAGTCTCCTTGTAAGATTATCATTCGGTCTTTCAGATCACCATCTGTGCAAATGGGGGGGGGGAGGTAAAAGACAGAGCCCTGCCCTCCATTTAAACTCCACTAATATGCATACAGTTACCCACAGTTAGGCAGGAGTTTCTGTTTTACACGACAGGCAAACAACACGAAATTGGCTTTTTGATCACTGACACAGGAGGGGAAAGGAGTGTATTCCCTAGCTATACCCAGTCCCACAGAGCAAAAAAGGTAATGGATTTACCTTGCCGGATGGAGACGTATCTGCCGTTGGAGGCCATGAAAACTACTTGTGGGTGACTCTCTTCCAGATCAAAGAGTTCATCTTTACCTGGCTTGGAGCTCCTGCCAGATTTGAGAGTGCCAGTAGGACCCATGGGGGCAAGGTATTTCCCATCACAATCCTTGAAGGCCAGCTTGCCTGCCTTGAACTCCAGTGTATAGCCAGCACGAAGGTCAGGCTCCTTGACCAGGGTGCCATCATTGCGCAGGTAGCGATTGTCGCACGTTCGCAGACAATACTTCTTGTTCTGGAAGGTGAGCGTGATGAGGGAGTCCACACCCCAGGGAATGTTACTGTCGGTGGAGATCTCGTCCTCTTGGGCACTGAGATGGGCATATCTTCTCCTGCTAACGCTCAAGAGATTAGCTTGAGGGTGGATGGCCAAGTGGACCGTCCAGAGCTCTGTTTCAGTGATGGTTTGAGCAAAGCAGGACAAATTATCTTCAGAGCCACCGAAGAAGCGCTTGTGTGGTTCTGACTGAAGTGCCCAGCGCCCGTCCGACTGAGTGATACTAATGAAACGTCCATCGCTTCCCGGCTTCTCAGCTTCACATGAGACCTTGCCATCTTTGTCAGCAGATAAGTACCTACCTAGGTGGCTCTTCAAGAAGACCACAGAGCTCTCTCCATCCTGCTCCAGGGTCCATATTTGCTTCCTTTTCAGGCTGGGCGCCGAGGCATTGACCTTGTAGCCAAAACTCTCTGCTGTTAGGTATCGATTATCACAGTTGATTAAGCCAAACTGGATCTTCAAGACCTGGTGGATCCCATTTGTTGGCATCTTCTATTGGGAGAGGAAATATCCCTAAGGACCAGGGTGAAAGTCCAGTTTTCCCAGTCCTTCCTAAGGTACAAAAATGCGTGCGTACATATGTACACCCTCCCAACAGAGAGAACTGGATTAATGCAAAATGAACCTTACACCTCAATCAAAGCCACCGTGACGTGCAGCTGCCCCAGTTCCCAGTCCCTCAGTGCCAGCTCTTCCTTCATTTAATCTGCAGCCCATAAAGCCAATCTTGTTTGACTGTCTCTTCCCCCCTGCTGGCAGCACTGTTGCCTGCTCCACAGCTCACACTGATCTCTTCCTAGTTCTCCTCCTCCTCTTCTCTGACATGGAGGGCGGGGGGGGGGGGGGGGGGGGAGCTCAGAAAATGCACATGCTTAGGCGCCGCAGCCTGCTTAATTAGCACAGCTAGGATTACAAAGCTCTCAATGAGCTGCCAGCCTCCTGTAACCAATAGTTGGGCTTCTGCATAAGCCATAAAGAGAAGGGGGTTGACAGGCCACACAATGGTCTTTTGAAGAGGCCTATTCTTCATAGTTAGCCTGCCTCTCTATGGTTGTGGTGCTCTATACTGTATCTATGTCTCTCATGCCTTTGCAGTCTCAGTAACTCCTTCCTCTCATGCTTGATAGATCCCCTCCTCCTTCATGTCCCCCCCACTGCCAAGGTGGAAAATTTGCCTGTCAACCCAATCTGCCACCTCCCACTGCTGATTCCCTTAGTGGTGGAGTTATTCCCCTTTTTGCACTTGGGTAAATTTACAGGGCTCTCTGATTCCGTGCGGTAGGTCACCTCCATGCTACATGCTTTCCCAGTCCAGCCTCTAATCTCCTTAACAATTAGCCAGGCATTTCTATTAGTGTAAACCTTTGATCCTTCTTTGGCCCCTTTGCCTCCATCTGTCCTGTAGCCCCAAATCCACAGTTCTGTTAAAGGATAACTGCATGAACCCTTGCAGTCAATGAACAGCACTGCCAAGAGTCGAACCAGGGAAGGCAGTCAGTCAGGAAAATGGCACGAGGTCTGCTCTGCTGAGGGAATATTGAAGAAATAGAGATTCATTTAAACATAGTAACTTAGAATCTGCTACAACAAAAATGGCTGAACAACAATAGGCAGATCATATTGAATAATTTAGCTCTCTTATCCCATTATTGGTAGAAGCAAGGCCTCCTTTCTCTCCCCTGCCAAGACTTTGCAATTGACGTGCAAGATCTGACTTTGGGCACCATTTCAATTTTTAATAAGGCTGACATGCAGAAGGGCTCTGTGTGGATGAAGCCACAGTTGACAGTCAAGAAAAGTTGGGCTGGGGGAAATATGGTAGTGGGTGGTGAAGACCAAATTGTTACCTAACAAGCAGGAACAAGATTCAGAGTCAATCGAACCTATAAGCACCATCAATTTGTTCCTTTGTAACCAAGAAATGAAGGGCAGTCACAGTGTGTATGGAAGCAATTTACAGTGTAGGCCAGTGGTTCTCAGACTTCCTGATGTGTTGGACCCATATCTAACTAATGTACTTTTCAGGAACCAATTGCAAAGTAACTCCTTTCTCTCTCCCCAACATTTAACAAACGATTCTCACTCACATCAGTTTAAACATTTAACACACGATTCTCACTCACATCAGTTTAAACATTTAACACACGATTCTCACTCACATCAGTTTAAACATTTAACACACGATTCTCACTCACATCAGTTTAACATTGAACAACTAGAGACAAAACTGGGGCATTTTGTCACATTTTAAATACCCCCATAGCATACAAGATTCTTTCCTTTCCATTTTATCCCATTCCAACTGCATGAAGTCGTTTGGGCTGAGGCCAATATGGTTGCCAACTCTAGGTTAGAAAATTCCTGGAGATTTAGAGGTGGAACCTGGGGGAGAGGGGGCTTAGCAGCATATAACATCAAAGAGTCTATCCTCCAAAGCAGCCATTTTCTCCAGGGGAAATCTGTATCATCTGGAGACCATCTGTAATTCTCCAGGCCCCACCCATAGGCATAAACTATGGGGGGGGGGCTCAGGGGCTCGGGCCTTCCCCGAATTTTTGCAAGTGGGACTGAGCCTCCACCTGCCAACCAGTGCCTGGCAATATTGAGTTTAAAACTTTCCTTTGGGCTCACTTTTTTTCTTTCAAGCTTACTTTCTTACAAATGCTGAGCTAGCAGGATAGACAATGTGATTGTTAAACATCCCCCTTCTCCCTCTCTTCTTCTCCCAGCATGGAGGTGTCAAATGCTAGTCTTTAGGAAGACAGCTCTATGCCTGTACCTCAGCGGGGAAAAAGATTTGGTAACATACCTTGCCACAGGAAGAGAAAGTCTCTTGCAGCTGGATCCATCAGGAAAGACAGACCTCTGATCTGCGGTCTGTGGAAGGTGCCCATTTTTGTCTATCCAGCTGGCATAGAAAGCTTAAGAGCACTTGATACTGTAAACCAGGGGTGTTGAACTCATTTGTTATGAGGGCCGGATCTGACATACATGAGACCTTGTTGGGCCAGGCCATATGGGTCATAAAATGTAATGCCAGGGAGCAGAGATACAAACTTTATAAAAGACACAAACACAAAGGTTTTTTTTACTTAAAATAAAAACATGCTTAAAACATTAGCACTCTTGCAATATTTTGCTTATTTAACAGTGTCTGATAACTGACACCTCTTGCTCTGAATTATTGCATCAAAATGTCTGTGCTGTTGCAAACTTGAGTATGCTGTTCAGGTGTGTATCTGTAAGCTGCAAACCTATGATGTTGCAGCAGCAGCAGAACTGGAAGAAGCAGCAGAAGACAGCCAGTTCCACCGCGGGCCTGATAGAAGCCCTCCGGGGGCCTGATCTGGCCCCCGGGCCACATGTTTGACACCCCTACTGTAAACAGTAAGATCTGCAAGAGTTTTCAGTTGTATCTTTGCACTCTCTAGATTAATAACTAAGGTTTTTGATATCCAGAGCACATCAATCCTTAACTATGTTTGGTGTCTGTTGGAAAATAAAGTGTAGTCCTTAACCCTGGCTGGCTCCACCCACTTTCAATGGAGCAGCAGTCAGACTGCAAAGCCTCTGTTGGGCTCAACATGCTTGCTTGACTCTAATTTACTTTGGAGAAAAAGTGTGTCTCTATTTTAATTTACTTGGGTCTATATGTCCTTGATTGAGAACAGGTTTTTTTCATGATAGTGAAGGGGGGGACTGCTTCAGCTACTCCTAGGCTCTTCTTTCAAATTCCATTTCATTTTTAAATTGTAAGCATATCTGTATGAACAAGATTGGGGAGGAGCATGTAGATCAGAGGCCTTTTAAAATTTTCTTTTGCCTTGTATGCAGCCCAGACAGAACATTGGCAAGGACTGTGCACTTTGTATATGTTAACCCTCTTCATTTTGCTGTTACTTAAAATGGTGTGGTACCATTTTCAAATTGGCAACCAACTGGGATGTACTAAAAGGAATGACAGGATTTCCCATTGGAAACAATGGAAGAGGCTTGAAGGCCCATTGGAGATAATGGGAGCCAGGAATACCAATTGACTTGTATGGGCTCCACTGAAATACATTGCAGCACAAAAAAAGTTGCAAAGAAAATGTGGAATGGGTTTTCCATTAAGGTCTTTGGGCCTAGACAGCCTACTCTGGGACTGGAATGACAGCCCCCCAGAGTGGAAAGAAAGTCCCTAGGAATAGAATCTGAGCTCTGGGACTAGAATGACACCCCCCAGTGGAATGATAGTCCCTAGGAAGAGAATCTGTGCTCTGGGACTAGAATGACACACACACACCAGTGGAAAGAAAGTCCCTAGGAATAGAATCTGTGCTCTGGGACTAGAATGACAGCCCCCAGAGTGGAATGACAGCCCCTGGAAGTAGAAGAAGCATTCTGGTACTGGAATGACAGCTCCCCAGAGTGGAATGATAATCTCTAGCAACGGAATCTGTGCTCTGGGACTGAAATGACAGGTCACAGAGTGGAATGACCGCCCCTGGAAATAGGCTCAGTGCTCTGGGATTGGAATGACAGCCCCCAGAGTGGAATGATGGCCCCTGGGAGTAGCAGAGATGTTCTGGGACTGGAATGACAGATCTCAGAATGGAGTGATAGTCCCAGAATGCTTCTGCAAATCCCATGGGTTGTCATTCCAGTCCTAGAACACTTCTGCTGATCCCAGGGACTGTCATTCCACACTGGGGGCTGTCATTGCAGTCCAAGAGCACTGAGAAGATTGCTACTACTCTGAACTCTGTACATTGCTCAGAAATTGAGTGCACAGCAACTGTTTTGTATTCTGCCCTGGCTCAGAGACTCCAGCCATGCATTTACCAAATGAAGGCATCTGTGATGCTACATTTTAGTAAATTTCAGTACAAGATTTATGCCCAGGGGCATTGCTGGGGGGGGGGGGGGTAAATTGATAAAATTATTGACTTGCATGACTCAACTAGGCCTGACTGCTTGCTACTGTTCAACAGCAGCCACCCTATGAAAAACAGTGTGGTATAGTGGTTAGAGTTTCAAAGTAGGGTCTGGGAGACCCAGGTTCAAATCTCCATCTTGCTGTGGAAGCTGACTGGGTGATTTTGGACCAGTCACCTACTTTCAGCCTAACCCACCTCACAGAGTTGTAGTGCAGAAAAAACGAGAGAATAATGTAAGCTGCTTTGGTCCCCAATGGGGAGAAAGACTATAGTTTTCCTAGGTAGAGCTTGTGGTGTGTGTGTGTGTGGAAAGCTGAAGAAAGGAGATAGGATTGCCAACATCCTAGGAAGGAGAGTGAGGTTTGAGGAGGGACCTCAGATAGGCATAATGTTATAGACTGTACCCCCCAAAGCATCCAGGGGAACTAGTGTAGCCAGCCACCAGATGAGAGATCACCCAGAATTACTGATCTCCAGATGACCAAGACTAGTTCCCCTGGAGAAAATGGCTGCTTTGGAGGGTGGACTCTATGGCATTATACCCTGCTGAGGTGGCTTCCATCCCCAAAC